CTTAAGACCAAACGGCATGACCGTGTAACAGTATAACCCCTGATCAGTGACGAAGGCCGTCTTCTCCTGATCTTTCTTCCATAAAGGAATTTGATGGAAACCAGAGTAGGCGTCCATAAAGCTCATCAAAGCATGGCCGGCTGTTGAGTCGACCAGGTTATCAATTTTAGGCAGAGGGTAACTGTCTTTGGGGCACGCCTTGTTTAAGTCTGTGTAGTCTACACACATTCGCCAGGTGCCATTCGGCTTTTTAACAAGCACCACATTTGCAACCCAGTCTGGGAAGTAACATTGCCGAATGAACCCTGCATCAAGTAATTTTTTAACTTCGGCGGCTGCCGCCTGACTTCTTTCTTCGCCATGGTTCCGCTTCTTCTGTCGTACCGGCTTCTTTTTCGGATCCACGGCCAGTTTATGTACCGCCAGATCAGGACTAAAGCTTGGCATTTCATGGACTTCGAATGCAAAGATGTCCTTGTATTCTTTCAATAGTTTGTGAAAGTTGTCACCAAGGTCTCTCAGAGCAGTCGTCCCAACTTTGACTGTTCACTCAGGACGTGAGTCGTCTAAGATCAAGTCTGCATGCTCACCAGCCGGCTGAGGGCGGAATTCATCCGACCGCTCCTCTGCCAATGATTGGTATTTTTTGTATTTTCTTGCGGCCCCTGTCTGGGATGCCTTTCTCTTCTTGCCGCCTGCTTCTTGAACAGACGCACTCTCCTTGACATTGTCAAGGTCTGTTTTTTCACCACTTGACCCAGTGGCCATAACAGTGGGCTTGACATCCGAGAGATAGCACTCTCGGGCCATCCTCTGATCTCCCCTTAGGGAGCCGACTGTTCCATTATCCCTCTCAAACTTGAGCAACATAAGAGATGGGATTATAACAGCCTTGGAATTATTCAGGGTTGGTCGTCCCAGAATCATGTTGTAGGCCGAGAGTTCTTCTACTACCAGGAACCGGACTACCATGTGTCGTCCTTCCCCTTTTTCGCCCAGGCGGATGGGTAAATCCACTCGTCCCAGTGGGTGGACGACTCCTCCTCCAAACCCTACTAAAGGGTGGGAGGCCGGATGTATGCAATTAGTCTGATATTTTAGTTTCGACAGACATTTGCTACTGATGAGATCTGAGGAGCTTTCGGTATCGATGAGGATTCGGCCAACTCTCTGGTTGGCCACTTTACATTCAATAACGATAGGGTCGTCATGCGGCCCTCTTACCCCTCCTAGATCTTCTTCAGTGATGACAATCTCAGGAAATGAATATTTGGAGGGTCGTTCTTGGTGAATGAATTTACATCTAACCGTCTGATGTTGTCTTTGTTGCCCCTAATAGTGGGGCCGCCTCCTGAGAAGCCGCCTGCAATGGTGTAGACGACTGCATCATCTGCATCGGAGCTGTCGACCTGTTGATTCTTTTTGGCCGACTGCTTTTTTGAGGGAGTGTTCCCCGTAGATTTCTTGACATAAATGTCAAGATCACCTTGCTCAGCCAGGCGGTCCAGATAGGGCATGAGACTGATGCAATCATTGGTGTGATGACCAACATCTTCATGATAAGCACAAAATTTTTCTTGGTTCCGGTTGTTTGCAGAACCCTTCATGGGGACCGGCTTCTCAATTGAGATCCGTCCCTTGATTTCCTTTAGGATATATTGGCTATCCTTGTTAAACGCATACTTTGGGGAGTATGGTTTGAATTCTTTTTTCTTTTTCTGGGCCGGCTGTTTAGAGGAATCAGCCGCCCAGACCTCTTTTCTCTTCTCGTCTTTGTTTGACGACTGTTTCTGTCGTCCTTCTCTTTTGTCGTACCTTTTCCCGTCCGACTGTTTTACCATACTACAAAGATCAGTCCCCTGTATATAGGCTTTCGCTTCAATCAAGGCCTCTTGAAGAGTCGCCCCCCTCTTTCGGACCAAATCAAATTTGAAGGTCGACCCGTCTTTGAGACCTCTGAAAAAGTCAGTATAGGCTACCTCATCCGGTAACCCTTGAATCTGTATTCTCATCAGGTTAAACCGCCTGATGTAAGAACGAAGCCCCTCCTTCTCGCCCTGCTGAATTGTTCCTAAATCAAGGGTCGTCTTCTTTGCAGGGATGTTCATGGCGAAGTTGGAGGTGAATAAGTAAGCAAGCGTCCTGAAGCTATTTACACAACCAGTCGGCAGGTTGCCGAACCATTGTTGTGCAATTCCTTTGAGAGTCGCTGGGAAACACTTGCACCAAGTGGGATCATCCAACCCTTGAAAGTACATTAGGTTGGTGAATGCCATCAGATGGTCTTCTGGGTTAGTAGTGCCGTCATAGGCGCCTACTAATACATTTTTCACTTTGGCCGGCTGAGCGGCTTCAGTAATTTCCTTGGAGAAGGCCGACGGCTGTTCACCAAGTCTATGCAACCGAAGCTGCCAGTCCATAGGTTGGACATTTTTTGCTGCATGACCACCAAACGGAGGTGGCTGTAAAAAATACTGTTGTTGCGGTACAAACGGTAAGTTTGGTACCGCCTGATCGCTATGAAAGCCGGACTGACGGGAGGTGCCGCCTGACTGACTCTCACGATACGACTGAGTATTCCTCATTGAGGTATTTCGCAGACTGTCTTGGAAGTTTGAAGTAGAGGCCGACTCTGACAATCGGTCACTCTTCTTCTGCTCTAGCAGTAGCCGAGCGTCTGAGTATGATTTCCTCGAACCGTCCGCCTGAATATGACGAACAGGTTTCCTATTTCCTGGAGTAAGGAAAACGGTATTTTGTGAAATCAAGGGCAGGTGGCTCTCGCTTCCTAGATTTAGGATGAGGAGTCGCCTCTCGCCCTTGAACTGGCTTCCTCTTCTGTGAAGAGGAGGGTTTCTTAGCCGACTGCTCCTTGTCCAGAGCAGACGGCTTCTTGTTGATCAACTCTTGAATTTCTCCCTTGAAGTCCCTCATGAAGGTCATGAGTTCGTTCCTTGTAATGGGAGCAGATCCATCAGTCGGCTGCTGCCGAACAGGTGGTGCGCCTGCTGGCTCGCTTCCTGTTTGAAGATGTTCCCGTTCCCTCCTTTCGGTATGACGGGTACGCCGGGCCCTTAGGGTCCAGTCTGAAGCTGTGTGAGCTTCAACTTCAAATTCATCCTCAGTATCGTGGTCCGACTGAACTTGAGGGTCGTCTAGGGGACGCCTCTCTTCAGGAGTCGGTACAGACTTGGATGCCATCTCAGAAGTACTCTCCCCACAGACGGCGCCAAATGTTTCGGGGTTTTCTGATGTCCTGCGGGAGAGTTACAATTCCGAGACTGGAACCGAACGCCTGTACCTGCAAAAACGGAGACTCCCGGTGGTGGGAGCTCCGCCTCCAACGGTCAAGTTAGTACTTGATTAAGGAGTAATTAATGCGGAAATTAAAGTGATTGGGTCTCTCTAGGTGAGAGTGTTTAATGTAGGTAATCTGCTTTGTTAGCGTGATCAGCCTGTTATCTCTGTAATCTCCCTTAATGAGGATTAAGGGAGGTATTTATAACCTTGGGAAACGTGCCAATCCTAGGTTTAGGTTAACCTAGGGCTGATTGGGCTTCCCTCGGAAGTTGGGCATGGGTGGCCGGTTTCTCCATTAGGCATGGAGTATGCCACGTGTCATGACATAATAGGTCCAAGGTGGACGAATAAGCGTGTGCCACGTGGCAAGCCCTGACAGTTCCAACTGGGGGACACTTGGCAGGACCTGATTGGCCCACGTGGCGCATTCCGATTGGTGGGAGCAAAATCCCCTAATCAGGATCCATTTAGGCGAGCTTCGGGTTTGTTACTTACTAACCCAAAGTTCTATAACATTCTCTAGCAAGACGTATAGACGACCCAAATAAAGGAATTACTATCTCCATAATACGATCCATAATTATATTAACTAATTGCACTAAAGTCGAGGACACATGTCCTTCACCTAGGTGGTAACTAATTTCCCCAATAAAAACAAAATTTGTACAACCAAACCCAACCTGTTCTCTTAAGCTAAAATAGAGAGACTAGGGGTATGTTCTCTTCAACTTAATTTCAGTTCAGTTCACTTCCTAATTTCCTTCTCTTATAAAATATTCATTTCAGTTTTATTCAGTTCAGATAATTTCAGTTTAAATTCAATCAGTTGGGTTCAATTTAATTCATTTCATTTCATTTCAATGAATTAGAAAAGGTCCTAAGTTAGATGTGTAATTAGGGATGTCAGTGGGGCGGGTCAAGTAGGAGACCCGCCCCATCCCCGCCCCAGTGGGGCAGGGATGAATCTCGGTTTCGCGGGTGGTGGGGCGGGGATGGGGATAAAAATCATACCCGCCATGGGTGATGGGGCGGGGGTGGATTTTAAGTTGTACCCGCCCCATCCCCGCCCCGCCCCACCCACCCCACTTCATACCCGCCCCATCCCCAACTCATACCCACATCTATATATCTTTTAAAGCAAAATTACATACTTTTATTCTATTTATAAAATAATTACATGAAATACAATATTAATTATAATACTTTGTACGACATTTATATTATAACACAAAAATGTGTATATAATGTTTTATTTTATAATTCGTATTAATTATGTAAGATTGTATATTTGATATACGGATATTAGGTGGATCTTGGGTGGGGATTAGGCGGGTTTTTGGTGGGGATTAGGTGGGGATGGATATCTAAGTGGGGGGTGGGGCGGGGATGGTTTTGGAGTTGTACCCGGTGGGGCGGGGATGGGAATGAAAATTGGACCCGCCGCGGGGATGGGGATGGGGATGGGGATGAAAATATTAGGTGGGGATGGGGATGGGAAGGCCAACATCCACCCCGCCCCGCCCCATTGACATCCCTATGTGTAATCTTGTTCTCGAAATGGGAAATATTCGTTGATCAATATAGACTTTTCAATATAGACTTTTCAGTATTTCACAAGCTTTTGTCCACGGGTCATAAGCTTTTGTCCTTGACTGACTTTTTTTTTTTTTTTTTTTTTTTTTTTTTCTTTTTGAAAGCCCTTGACTGACTTTAATGGTGACTGTTTTTGGAGTTTTTTTGGGAGAAAGGAGAGTCGGAGATATTGCTCATAAATACAAGTAGCAAACGAAGTAACCTCAAAAAAAAAAAAAAAAACCTCAAATATTTATGGTGTTGCCTCTTCTGATCGCCTTCTACTCAATCAGAACGCTTTGACATCGACAAAATCAAATAAAAATTTGGTCAGTATTCTATTTTTGAACTTCTTATTAATTTATTTACTTATTATTTTATTTGTGTTGTGAATTTTCATACCATTTATTTACAGCTTCAATAAATGCCTAATTAAAATTATGGTTGTAACTTGTAAACTTTTTGAAGTTAAAATTTGAGAAATAATTAGATTGTTTCTGCTTATCTCGTAGATCGATTTCTGATTAAAAGTAATCCGTATATTTTAATGTTAATTTTTTGGATGTTGGAATTATGAAGGATTGTTTAAGAAGTTATACTTCTTTTTTGTGTCGTCCTAATTCCCCCATTTTTTTTGTCCTTCGTAAAAAAGATTCATTCTTTTTATGTTCCACCCATTTTACCCTTTAAGCTAATCCGGATTCGGTTTCAATCCCCTTAATGCGGAGATCGTACACGAGTCCTTCCTATCAAATATAGCCTCAATTGTCACTACACTAACGGCCAATTATACCCAACTTATTTCGGTTGGAACTACACAGTTCACACAAATTAATGCTTCTGTTCTTGCTGACACCCTCAAATGGGCATAGAAGTTGGATGGGATACTTTAGCACTCAAACGTTTTTCGCAAGCCAAATGTATTATATTGACATTATATACTCCATATATAACTGATTATTAGCAATAATAAAAAAAAAAAACTCGGTATTTAAAAGTTGATATCATGGAGTATAATTAAAACTTTTACATGTGGCTTAGTCACACCGAATGGTCAGCCACCTTAGGTTACTCAGTTAGTGTTACAGGGTTACTTGGTTAGAGGTTTTACTATGTTAGTGTTGTAGGGCTTATTTTGTTATTTGAGTGTCCCCTTAATAAGTACTACCTCCGTTTCTTATTAGTTGCAACTTTAGGGTATTATTTGTGAGATATAAAATATTCCAAAGTTGCAACTAATACGAAACGGAGGTAGTATAACAAGTGGATACTGTATTAGTATAATGGGGTAACTCTATCAATGTTATAGGGGTTACTCAATTGTTTCTTACAAACGGTGACACGGTGTGGCCAACCGCATAAAAAACGCGTTGAACCTTATATTATTATCTACATTAGTAAATACTATGGTCAATGTTAGTATGTGAATAGTAAGAAAAAAAAAATCCAACATGTAAATTTATCGTGGGACAGGGGAGTATTGAACTGTAAATTAAAGTGGATGAGATTTTTTTTTTTTAATAATATAGACTAGATGAAGTAGCAATGCAGTGTTGTTATGTACTCTCTTCGTTTTTAAATACTTGCTCTATTTCTCTTAAACACGCATACCGATACTAATTCTTTTATTAATAATATCTTTAATTATCAATAAGTACAAATTTTAATAAGAAAAATTTGCGAGAAAGGTCCTTTTAAGTGGTAGAAAGGTCCTTTTATGAAAAGATGGCACAAAAGGTCCTTATCTGAATTGGGTTGTAAAGAAGGTATGTCGACCAAATTCCGACGTTGATCAAAATTTTCCGGTCAAAAAAAGTCACGTGCTAATGACCCCCCCTTTTTTTTCTTTCTCTTTCCTTCTTCTTCCTCGATTTTGCCCTTTTCCCCCATTTTTCCCATTTATCTCTTCTGATGCGACTAGTAGCTACCCCATTAATGGCAAAACACTGTAGAAGGAATTGTAATTTATGTGCTTCAATTTTAATTTCTGGCCGGGATAAAAATCGAATTTTGGGATTATTGTTATTCTAAAATGTTCAATAAGGTAGGGAAAAATGGGAGAAATGGACAAAATCGAGGAAGAAGGAGGAAAAGGGAAAAAAGGTCATTAAAGTGGTCACGTGCTGTGCCGCACTTTTTTTTTTTTTTTGTCGGAAAATTTTGGTGAAAGTTGGAATTCGGTCAACGGACCCTCCTCACACCCCAATGTTCATATAAGGACCTTTTGTGCCACTTTTTTTTTCATAAAAGGACCTTCCTCATGCGGTCGACCACTTAAAAGGACCTTCCTCACAACTTAAATTTTTAATAATTGAAAATTAATAATCTATTCGTTGTGACGATTCCAACAAGCTAGATTGTACTGATACTACGGGTACAAAAAACGGGTACGAATACGGGTACGAGATACGGCAAAATCAAAATTTCCATAAACGGATAGGATACGACAAATAAAAATTCAGCAAAATGTAAATCCTTAAAATGAATTTTTTTTTTTAAAAAAAAATAATTCTATAAACTCATAACAATTCATAACACATGAAATTCATAATTAAAGTACCATAATCATAATCACATTGCCATTTAAAACGAAATATGGGGGTTTAAAAGAAAACAAAATATGGGAAAGAAAAAGCACCATGTGATTTCTACCTACTGCCATCTATATTCTACAGTAACTTTAAATTAAAAAAAAAATATATATCAAGTAATCACATGCTTTACAGAAAACATTGCTCCATTATTCTCATAAAGGAAAAAAAATAGTTTGAAGAAAGAGAAAAAAAAAACCAGAAGCAGAAATGTTGAATCAGGCCGGCTGCCGGTGTCGGAGGGGTCGTAGGTAGTCTCCGGTTGCCGCAGTCGGCCACACAATCAACGTTCGCAATTTTAGGGTTTTTGATAATTGGGGGAAATTGACATTTTGGTAAGTAATGTTGGTTTTTTTTTTCAAAAATAAAAAATGGGTTGGGCTTTAATGGAAACATTAGAAAATGGGCTTCCCCGTCCCTGATACGTTTCCAAGCAAGAGTTTAAACGTCCCCAAAATTGCTTGTCGTACCACTTTTGACGGGGACAGCTTGGTGACGTTTCCATGGCGTAACCGTACCGTACCCGTCCCCAAAACGTATCGGGTACGGGAGACGACAACTATATGGCGTATTCGTGAACATTGCCAACAAGTACCCACAACACTATATTTTTTCTTATGTATAAATCACAAAATTTAGTCAAAATAGGACAAATAAATAATACAAAAAATAGAATTGGAGCAAATATTTAAAAATGAATGGGGTTTGTTGTTAGATATGACAAATTTGTAAGTATTTTAAAATTGGAAATTGATACCACTGTGTTTTGAAATGTACACTTGAGTCATGAAATAATACGGTAAATGATTATAATGGTACAAAATCTTGTTACAATGGTATATACTTTTAAAGCTAACTAGCATTTTGGCCCGTTTGATGCCCGACTTGTTATTTGGGCTAGTTATTTTTATATATAGGTATGGTTTTCAAAAGTTGATACTTTTGATATAATATATAAAGTAATTGCTTCATTGCTAAAACATAAAAGAACAAAAAAAAGAGTCAAAGTAGAACGGTAAAAGAAGACGAAGGAATTTGGTTAGGTATACCGTATATACATGAAGATTGTAAGATATGAAATGATACATTAGTTTAAGAAGACGAAGGAATTTGGTTAGGTATACCGTATATATGAAGATTGTAAGATATGAAATGATACATTAGTTTAAGTTATATTTTAAGTTTAGGAAATTAAAACACAATTTTTATTATAATTCATATGTTTATGTAATGTGTACTAGTTATGGTGGAAATGAACACACTTTAATTTTTTTCCTTAAATTTGCAAGTCATAGAATGCATAGTGACTTAGGCCTTGTTTGACAAATGGCTGTTGGCTGGTTTACTTGGCTTGTTTGACCCTGGAATGTTTGGGTGTTTATAATGGCTTTTGAAATTGGTTGTTTAAGCTGGGTGTTTATAAAAGTGTTTGGTAAATTAATTGTTGGTTGTTGGCTGTTTATTAGATAATTTGTGGGCCAACAAGCCAAAAGCCAACAAAAAAGCTACTCAAAGCAGCTTTTTCATTTTGGCTTAAAAGCCGCTGACTAAAAAGCCAATTACCAAACACATTTTTTGGCTGTTTGACCACCTATAAAAGTGAAAATCTAACCAAAAAGCCATTAAAAAGCTAATTACCAAACATGGCCTTAAACAATAATATTAAGGGAGGTGACATGACATGTGGGGGCAATAAGTGACTTGTGATGACATGTAAAAAATTTATGGTGTGGAAATGAAGCCCTTCATTTTCTCCCTTGAAATTGTAAGTTATAGAATGTATAAAGACTTTAAAAAAAATATTAAGAGTGGTGACATGTGACGTACGAGGTAATGAGTGACTTCTGATGACATGTGTCATGTGAAAAATTTATTGTTTATGTTTTTAAATACTAAGTATTGATATTGATATTGATATTGATTGACATTGAAGTATAGATTTATATATTTACCTTAGGTTGTGAAATTATGCCGTTAATAGTGTTATAGAATCATAAATGGTTGTAATGGTACTAAATTAACTACGTACACTAAAATCAGTGGCGGATCCAAGATTTCCGAGCTTGTGAGTCACCCTGAACACGAAGGTTTACATCGCGTCAAAAGGCTTCCACGGAATCAAAGGCACTCGGTTGTGTAAATACCAACAATATGCTTTACCACCAAAAATACCGTCATATGACTCCTATTATATAAGTTCTACAATCTAAAGCCATAACATAGCAATAATAAGGCTTGTTTAATTTTATAAAATTGATAAGTTAGCCTAACTAACAAACCTCATTACTTTTAATCTAGTTGTAATATAAGCTCTTTTGTTCTTGTTAAAAAAAAAAACAAATCCCATTACTTTGTCATGCTATATACAACTACTTTACGAATGCCAATTGCCATAAATTCTATTACATTTTCCAAGTCTACAAACTAACACAAAAATAAGACCTTGCACAATAGGGGTTACAAAAATAAAAAAAAGTTTGACCGGTTTAACCGGTTATAGGTCATAGGGATCGTTTATGGAAGATCCATGTTAAAGGTGGGATTATTTCTGGAATTTCAAAAGGTGGGATTGTTTATGGAATACCGACTAAAGGTGGGATTATTAGTTTACATTTTTCCTTAAAAATATATTTTCATATTATTAATTTTAAAGTTTTTTTTACTAATTTACAATTTAAGATATTAATTGTTAAAGTCCTGCCTCTAGTCCAAGTGTTACATTTGAAAAATACGGAGGAAGTAATGTAATTGAAATCCATTCAAAAATAAAACATAATGTAACTGAAAATTTTAATACAATAACCAACGATCAAAACCTTAATACCAAAGATGGAGTCGGCTATATGGACAAAATTTTTATCTTTTATACTTGCCAACCATGAGTCCATGATCATATGTTTACATTCTCGTCTCTAATATTATACGTTCTTGTAAATCTAACTTCTTCATGTCCCTTTTAACTCCTTCCATCCAAGTCATCTTTTGTCTTCCTCAACATTATCTTTCTTTTCACTTTCCTTACTAGTGCATCTTCAAATATGTGCTTGACATGCCAAAACTAATGCAATACTATCGATTCTCCCATATTATTTGTGACGGGAAGTTCCTTATCAATACTTGGAATGCAATCTATTCACCTAATTTTTAGTTATCTAAACTTATTACAACTTATTTTAGTTATAAATTGAACTTGGTAACCTTGTTTAACCCTTATAACAACTTTTCTGAACTTTTTATTTTCTTAAACTTATCAACTTATCTTCCCTGTAATAGATAGGTGGAAATAAGGTGAACTAAACAGAGCCTTGGTTAAATGGGAAACATGTCCAATGGGGCAAAAAAGGGGTAACTTTTATGGAATAAAATGTCTATGATTAAACACAATTGACAATTAGTTTTTCTCTGTGCGATTTCTAAGGAGATAAGCTAGAGAGAAAAGATAATGGAGGTTGATGAGAGACAGAGCCGTCTTAAACTTTTTAGGGCCCTCTTCATTTTTTTAATATATATTTTTAATTTTTTTTATCTTAAATAATTTTCATTTCTGTAGTCATAAATTTATAAATATATATTATGGAGTATTTAAGAAACTAATAATTCCACCTATATTTAATTACATAAACGAAAATAAAAAAATTGAAGATAATATTAGGCAATAGCATATACTAGATAAAAATAAAAGGTGAAAATATAATGTTGAAAGTATATATAAATAAGAAATTCTTAGGAAAACAAAATGAATTAGGTGTTGGGAAGGGGTTTCAAACCCAATCCCACCGACTACAAAGGGTTCAAAACTTTGTTAATTTACCACCACTTCAGCCATCTAATATTTGAGATATGCTATGTCATTCAATTTTTTTTAATACAGACAATAGGTTCCAGATTATGAGGCCCCAAAAAATTTGAGGGGTGTGTTGAGCCGGCCTTGATGAGAGAGGATGGGTGAGGGAAGAGAGAGAGGAACATGAGAATATAGGTATGTATTTATCTATAAGGCATGCTTAGATTGAGGATAATACATTACAGGGGTAATAAAAGTCAAATTTGAAAAAACAAAAGCAATTAGAGGTGTTGTAGAAGACATGATGTTTACAAATGAAATAAGTTAGTTATGCCATGAGGAAAAGAGAGAGATGGAGGAATTATTACTCTCATAATGAGGGTAATAGTTATCCATCCTCCCCCCTTGTGTAACTATTACCCCCAAAATAAAGGTATTGATTCCTCTTTTTTCACCTCACACCATACCATCAATATATAATTTTCTTACAATTACACCATCACTATCTCCTTCCCAATATTCACATTCATTTTGCTTAGTTTGATTTTTTTTTTTGATTTTTTTTTATCCTAGTAATACATCTCCCCCAATCTAAGCATGCCCTAAGAGAAGTTTTTTTCACCCTTTACAAACCACACAGAGGAAAATGGAAAAATGACTTATCTTAATTTTTCCTCTTAGTTTCTAGATCTTGAGTCATTTATCATTGGTGGAATTCCTTTTTAGTAGTCAATATTTCTTACGGAAAAGTGTGTGAGTTGTGATTGTTGAAACATACTAGCATGTTTTTCTCGTCAAGGATACTAAGAGTTTCATGAGCTCTTTATTTTAATTACTTTCTGTAACATATGAAGTAGTTCTTTAATGTATATAATCTTTTTATCTATATTTTTTCTATCATTGCAAAATAAAATAAGTTTAGACCTTTAAGTTTCAAGAAGATTTATCAATTTATTGATTTAGGTTTTTAATTGTATGAAAATGAGGTTTAAGTGCTGCCCATGTTTACATTTCCATTTCTTATGTCTTAATGTGGTAAAGCTTTATGATAGAATTATGAGAAAAAGAATGTTGAAAAGCTTAATAATATTGATGAGTATACAAGAGTAGATATAGTATATGAATGGAGTATTAAAAATTAAAAAAACTATGACTAGGTGTAAAATATGACAAAGAACATTAGCTAAGAGTTAGGGATATACTTTCTCTATCAACCTAAAGATAAAGATTAATTCAATGGATTAGCTAGTTTTAATGCTATAATTGGTTTATGGGTAATAATTAAGGAAGTAATAAAAGTCAAACTAAGAAAATCAGAAGTGATTCAAGGTGTTGTGGGGAGATAATGTGTTTATAAATAAAATAAGGTAGTTCTGACATGAGGAAAAGACAGAGGTGGAGGAATCATTACTACCCTCATAATGAGGGCAATAATTACCCACTCTCCCCCTAGTGTGACTATTAACCCCAAAATGAGGGTAATAGTTCCCCTCTCTTCACCTATCATCACACTACCACTAAATAAAACTCCTTACAATCACACCATCAGTAGTATATTCTCCTCCCTTATATTTACTTTCATTTTGTTTAGTTTTTCTTTTCTTACCTTAGTAATACATTACTCTTAATCTAAGCATGCCCTAATAGTAACTAATAATGACAATGGTGATTTAGTCGTCATTATCCTTTACACTTTATTGGTGGGGAAAATATGCTGAATAAATGTTGCATGAAATTTGAAGTCCAATTTATAGGAGCCTTATTGGTAATATTTGTCATCCAATTTAATGAGTTTTCTCATGGCCTTTCAAACTAAACATTGGCTTTTATGATAGGATGTTTCATATTGTTGTACTTAATAGTTCTTTGTGACTCACATTAAGGAGTTTTGATGATGACATATGTTTATCAGTTTGTTTGCAGCTCAAAAACATTCTGGCCTTGTGTGGTTATTGGGATTAAATCAAAAGAAAAGATAAAAAGATAGGGATGGTGGCACTTCTGTTTGATACGAAGGCACCTTTCTTTGCACTTTCTTGCTTGAAGACCCTGTTTCTGGTGATTAATCTTTGTATCTTTAATGGATTGACTTGTACAACTTCAACACCCTTGAGGTTTAATAGAAAGGGGGCTTTTAAGATTTTGCAAGTCGCAGACATGCATTACGCGGATGGCAAGATCACGCCATGCTTGGATGTGTTGCCTAATCAAGTTAAAGGGTGCTCTGATCTCAACACTACTGTTTTTATCCAGCGAATGATAAAAGCTGAGAAGCCTGATCTCATTGTCTTCACTGGTACCTCATCTTGCTTATCATGAAATTTCCTCTTTATAAATTTTTTTTAGTGTGTTAGTAAAGAAAAGAGTGTTTCAGGAAAAAAAAAAAAATTTATCATAAGATCAATGCTTTAGTTATCTATTATTGTGCATTTGTCACTCTTATGGGATCTTTACTCTCTCTCCCTCTCTCTCTCCTAATAAACTAGAACAAATAATTTGGGGACCAGCTGCACATTTGTTGACAATTGTAATGAATATTTTACTTTTTTTTTTTTTTCAGATTCTGTAACAGTTCTTTCCTCAAATTCTTTCAAAGCTGTATAATTTACATCTCTCACATAGGAATTAGTTAAAGGGGAGAGGGGGGATGAAACTGTTTGCCATTTCATCTGTGCTATGACTCTATGAGAAAGGTGTACAACAAAGGGTTATAGCATTTAGGTTGTATGTAGTTCAAACTAACTTTTTTGTTTTTTCCCTTCCGATTTGTCTTGTTTTCTTGTTTAATTGGAAGAATTCAAATGATATGGAAGCATGAACTAAGGAAGAGATTGAGCATATATAAACCAGAAGTGCGTACACAAACGTTATGCTAGCTTATGAGGAGCATTGCTCCTTAAATGAATGGGAAAAATGCTTATTATAACTTCACTTCCAGCTGCTTGATAAAAAAAATCTATCATCCTATGCAGTTACTTGCATAGCATCTCTGATAGATATATATATGGTGGGGTGGGGGGGGGGGGAAGAGAGATATCTCATATCTAAGTTAATTGTATTCTCAATGCTCAAACGCCAACCAATGATTGAATGCTTGAATAATGCTCTTACTTGCAACATGGAATTTTGTCTTTTTACGTGTTTGTGTGTGTTTCGGGGAGGGGGTATTTGGGGGGGGGGGATTGGGGTTCTTACATGTATGCAGTAGGAGCCATTTTTCCAAAGCATTTAAAAAAGATCTACCTAGAAAAGCATGAAGTTTGGTTGCTTCATCAAGTTCTAGGCTTAGCTTGGGGTATTCCTTTTTGGACATGGACACAAGACCTGTAAATGGTGTCAAAGGAACAATGTAACATGTAATTAACTAGTGTGCTGGACATCTTCATTACTTCATTATGGTTGTGTTGATTGTTAAGTATAAGTAAACTCAACCGTTTCGATATTTTCATAATGAACAAGTTTGAGTGTTTATTATGTTAAGCAATGTATATGCAATAAGAGTTCACATTAGAGGATCGTTGCAACATTTATTTATTAAATGTGCTAATATGTATTTCACATTATTTGTCATTTGAGATTGTATAGTTAAAATGGCATACTCTTAAGGTTAGAGCAATAGTAAATATAAAGTTAAGAATAAGTGTTAGAAGGATTGTTGCATGCCCTCACTTGTTTGTATAGATTCATTTGCCCAAAAGTACATTTGAGCTAGACATAGATAAATGAGTGCATGCAGAAACAAGGCAGCGCATCTGTGCAAAGTGTAAAGTGGTGCTGGAATTAAGCTTCATTGCCCCTCCATGCGTCCCTTGGTCTTTGTCAATTCATTGATTTCATGGTGGCATGATTTAGCATCTTAATTATCTATTTTTATTATGAATTAATAATAAATGTACTTGATTTGTTATAAGAAGTTATAATTAAAGAATTGTTAATGTCATTTGTGTAATGGACTGAACTGATTTCACTCAATAATTACTAAATATTAAGAGGACTGATTTTTCAATAATTCAATTGAAGGTTATAAATAGTAGCTTGATGCTAACAACCTCCTTAGCAACTTGAGGTTGCAACTCTCCAAGTTTTCCTCCCTAATTTCTGGCTGATTTCTTGTTGCACATACTACTATTCTTAAACTAATATTACTAGCTGGTCAAGATGACCTTAAGGCTAAACATGTGACTACTTAACACAAAATAGAAAACCATGAAAGAACATAATAAAGTAGATTGCTTTCTTTCCTTCTCTTCTTAATTAATTTGTTCTGCTTAATTGGAGTCTTGATGCACCGAATTGTTACCTGCTGCTGCTACCTTTTATTGTTGCTCTAGTGGTTTGACTTTCCTCCTAGCATAGACCCGTATAGATTGTAGTTGACCCGGATCCATCACAATTTGGTATTAAAAGATATGGCCCTAAGGATGTTTCAATTCTCATAAAATCAGAACACTTTATGTTTGAAGATCAGAAAAATCAAGTCATTTCTTGCTTATCTAAGTTTTTCTCTAGAGTTGCCTTAAAAAAAAAAAAAAAAAAAACAAAACAAAAAGTTTTTCTCTGGAGTTTTCAAGAGAGTTGTAATATTCACATTCATAAACCATTGTTAGACTAGCCTTGTAAGAACAACCAAGTCTAGTTGTTCTTTTTTGCATGTCAATATTGTCAATCTGTCACCATGTAACTCCAGTATACTAAGTGGGGTCGGTAAATATTGAAGATATCGTGTTATAATTCAGGTACAATCAAAACTTGCATATCCAGGCAATGAAATGATATAAATAATCGCGCCTTAAGATATTTTATGTCTGTTAATTTACAAGAATATGAAGATAATTTGTCTGTTGCGACAGGTGACAACATATTTGGTTCAGATGCTACTGATCCAGCAAAATCAATGGATGCTGCATTTGCTCCTGCAGTAATGTGCAACATATCCTGGGCTGCTGTTCTTGGAAATCATGATCAGGAATCCACTCTTTCAAGGGAGGGAGTCATGCAATATATAGTCAACATGGAACACACCTTATCTCTGTTGAATCCGCATGATGCTGGGAAAATTGATGGATTTGGAAATTACAACCTTGAGGTGGCTGGTGTCAACGGTTCACCTTTCCAGAATAAGTCGGTTCTCAATCTTTATTTCCTTGACAGTGGAGACTACTCAACAGTTCCTTCAATTTCTGGATATGGCTGGATTAAGACCTCTCAACAGTCTTGGTTTCTTCGTACTTCTAGGAGATTGAAGGTAGTATTTTGTTGATCGCTTAAAAATAAATAAAAAAAATTAGACACAATATCCTTGTGTTTTGAATTTGAATTTTCATATAATCATATAAAAAATCATCTCTGGCATGTTTGAATGCAAAAAATATGAAATACTTATCCAACTTCAATCATTGAAATTTCCATTGTAGAAAGCATATATGAACCACCCAGAACCCCAAAAGGACTCTGCTCCTGGCCTTGTGTATTTCCACATTCCGTTGCCTGAATATGCAAGTTTCGACACATCAAACTTTACAGGTGTTAAGCAGGAGGGCATTTCTTCACCAAGCATAAACTCAGGTTTTTTTACGACCATGCTTGAAGCAGGTGATATCAGAGCAGTTTTTACTGGTCATGATCACAAAAATGATTTCTGTGGTAAGCTGATGGATATAAATCTTTGCTATGCGGGTGGTTTTGGATACCATGCCTATGGGAAGGCTGGTTGGGCTAGGAGGGCAAGAGTGGTGAAGATAAATCTGAGAAAGATTGGTAAAGGGGGCTGGGGTACAGTCAAGTCTATACAAACATGGAAGCGTCTTGATGATTCAAACCTCACTACTATTGACACTCGGGTCCTTTGGAGCAAGAGCTCAACTGGTAAGTGTTTTTTGAAGTCCTGACTTATTCAGTAGGAAATATGATAGGTGTCGTTGATTTTTAATGCTATAATTCTATCATCTAAAATTAATTGAAATTAGAAGTTACTAGCAAAAATTTTAGTTGGGTTATCGGAGAGTTGATTTCATTTTTCTGTCGTGAATTGTAAGTAATAATGTTTAACATGCGTACACAAAAAAGTGGTCAATTTCTCTTCATGTTCTCACTTCTTGTCTGAGCTAAATTCTACAACATATTGTCACGGGTCATCTCCCTTGCCAACCATGGGCGTCATTTGGGTCACTAGGCAACAGGGCATAATCGTGGCTAGGGGGCTTGCCCTTGGTTCCCAGGTAAGCACTTCCCCCTAAAGAGTTTTATTTAGCACCCTGCTTAAAATCCTAGTGAACACCCAGTGACAGTAACGCAACAATGGGTCATTTGGAGACCCAAATGAAGTCCAAATGGGCCTAAATTTGGGGTCCACCGTATTTTGGGTCAAAGAAGACGATGGTGGTGTCGGTTTTCCGAGACGAGGTCCCGAAATACAAGTTTGTGCAGCAGGTAGCCCGAAAAACGCGGGAAGCTTCTAGAATGTCTCGGAGCTATCTACGAGGTTCTTTTGAAGGAGTATTCTAGAGGGGATGTCTCTAGAATATTCAAGGGTTTTCATGTACATAGTAGAAGTGTCTAGGGTCTTCTATCCATGTGCATAAGTGTTGTACGTTCTAGAATGTTCTAGGGTTGTCTTGAACATTCTAGCTAGGGAAGGATGTAGAAACCTCCATGTATGTAGTTCCTAACTTCCTAAGGAGGTGGGAACCCTCTAGATTGTTGTAAGTCTAGAACCCTCCATTTGAGGAGGTTAGGAACGTTCTAGATAATCCTTGTAAGTAGGGAGGAGCACTATAAATAGGCTCCAAGGCATCATTTGTACATTCAAGTTGAGAGCAATACAAAAAGCATTCCAAAGCACTTGTGTTCTCTTGCAACTCAATCTCTTTCCTTCAAACACTTAGAGAGTGTGAAGAAATTTAAGGCACGAGGGTGCCAAGTGAGTGATCGGGCATACTAGCAAGGGTGATAGATTGTGTGCTCAATTGTCCACGACACTTAGTCGTAAATTCGGACTAAGGCACTAAGGGTAAGTGCTTAGTTCAACCAAGGGGACTTGTTAGCACCAAGGGATCGTGCTAGCAAACTTATTCTAGCAGCACAAAGGGTTGTGCTACGTGGGCACGAGAGTAGTGCCAAGGGAGAAAGCCTGACTCGTCTTACGACGAACTGTAAGCGGGTGGCGCACGGTGCGTGACTAGGGCAAAGTAGTCGGCACGTGACAGGTGGTATTAGAGCAAGGTTACGATTGTCGTGTGGGATCGACGTCGTAAATTCAAGGCGTTGCTGTTCGAAGCTACGAAGGGACGGTAGCTAGGCAACAAAGGTAAGTCGCTTCATTCTTATTGTGGATATAAGTATGGCTGGCGACAAAGAGGTTCCGGCGAGCCAAATTGTGCAAGGGGAAGAGGAAGCAACGAGGAGGCTAAGAAGAAGGGCACGAGGGAACCGTCGAGGGAACGATCGGTGCCCAGAACCTTTCCCTCTGAGTTGGAACCCCGCCTCATGATGGTAGAGTGTACTGTGGCGGACATGCATGATGGTATCACACAACTCTCGGACTCCGTGGAGGAGCTCGAAGTAAAAGTGGAGGCCGCACACACTGCCACCCAAAACTTAAGGGACGAGACTCGTGGGCTCGTTAATAGCGCGTTGGAAACTATTCGCGAGGAGGTCGCGAAACTTAAGAGGGAGTTGCTTGGGCAACTAAGGGACATCCGAGCCGAGGTGGAGTCGGTGAAGGAGGATGTCATTTTATGCAGGAAGGCAGCAGTGACCGAGAGTGTCACTATCCAAAAGGGGCCAAAGATGAAGGTCCCAAAGCCACAGAAATACCATGGGAAGCGGGACACTCGAGAGATTGACAACTTCCTATGGAGCGTCGAGAGGTACTTCGACGCAATGAAGCTGGATGACGATGCATCAAAGATCAACACCGCCACAATGTACTTGGGCGAGGAAGCTGTCCTTTTTGGTGGAGGCGTCGGGAGTCGGACATTAAGAAGGGGACTTGTTCCATTAGCACATGGGACGAGTTCAAAAGGGATTTTTATCCGGAGAATGCCAAGAAGGTCTCCATGATGAAGCTACGTGACTTGAAGCACACTAGCACCATTATGATCTACCAGAAGAGAACCAACTCATTTATTTCACCGGAGGTCTACAACGATGGGCTCAGCAAGATGTTGAACGAAGAAACGTGAAGACACTTGCTGAGGCAATAGCCGTGGCGGAGTCCTTGATCGAGATACCGAAGGAATCGAGAAGGGACAGGGGCAAAAGGGTTGAGGATGGCGACCAAGAGGATGAGGAGGCATCGCATCCAAAGGCCAAGTATGCGAATCATGGCAAGGACAAGGCCAAGTCCAAGTAGGAGTCCAAGGGGGACGAGCGAGACGGAGGTAAGCCCTCAAAGCCTTTCAAGTGTTTCCTTTGTGAGGGTCCGCATCTAGCGAGGAATTGCCCGTGGCGGCAAAAGTTGAATGCCATGATCGCAAGAGAGGAGGAGCCAGCTCCAAAGATGAGTATGGGGCAATGGTCCTAGGGAAGAAGGCCCAGCTAGCCCGCATGAAGCTCCTCAATGCTACGAGTGTTGAGGAAGGTGTGCCCAAGGGAGGCATCCTCAACAACTGGTGGGACGGGCGTCAAGCAAGGGAGTAACTTGATGATCGTAGAAGGGGAAGTGAACGAGGTACCGACAAGGCTGCTTGCGGACACGAGAGCGTCGCACAATTTCTTGGCTAAAGAGGAAGCCAAAGCCTTAGGGGTGAAGTTCACCAGGGTCGATGGAGAGATGAAGACAATCAATTCAAGGGCTACGCCGGTGTATGGTAGGGCGTGGGGAGTCCCAGTCCGCTTGGGGAAGTGGAATGGAAAGGTCGACTTCTTGGTGGTCGACATTGATGATGAGGACGTGGTGCTAGGCATGGAGTTCTTGCACAAGGTCCTACCTTTTCGAGTGAGTGATGGCATGATAACCATCACATAAAAGGGGAGCGAGATAGGGATCAAGCTCGCTCAACTCAAGGAGCGGGGAAAGCTAGGTGGGCGCCGAGGCAAAGGCGTCAAGATGCGGTCCATGGGAGGACCAAGGCAGCAACAATGCAAGGGACAAGACATTAAGGTGTTCCAAGTGGTGAAACAACAAGGCTAACCTCTGGAGTCAATAGGAGGGACGGGGCAGCGGCGCACGGAAGCATCCAAGGGTCGAGTGGTGCGCTAGACCTGGTCGCAGGCACGTACTCCAACGGGCGATCTTGCCGAAGTCGGCAAGAATTTGGGTGGGGGAGAATGTCACGGGTCATTGCCAACCATGGGCGTTATTTGGGTCACTAGGCAACAGGGCATAATCGTGGCTATGGGGCTTGCCCTTGGTGTCCAGGTAAGCACTTCCCCCTAAAGAGCTTTATTTAGCACCCTGCTTAAAATCCTAGTGAGCACCGAAGTGACATTAACGCAATAATGGGTCATTTGGAGACCCAAATGAAGTCCAAATGGGCCTAAATTTGGGGTCCACTGTATTTTGGGTCAAAGAAGATGATGGTGGTGTCGGTTTTCCGAGACGAGGTCCTGAAATACAAGTTTGTGCCCGGTGAACGCGGGAAGCTTCTAGAATGTTCCGGAGCTATCTACAAGGTTCTTTTGAAGGAGTATTCTAGAGAGGATGTCTCTAGAATATTCAAGGGTTTTCATGTACATAGTAGAAGTGTCTAGGGTCTTCTATCCATGTGCATAAGTGTTGTACGTTCTAGAATGTTCTAGGGTTGTCTTGAACATTCTAGCTAGGGAAGGATGTAGAAACCTCCATGTATGTAGTTCCTAACTTCCTAAGGAGGTGGGAACCCTCTAGATTGTTGTAAGTCTAGAACCCTCCATTTGAGGAGGTTAGGAACGTTCTAGATAATCCTTGTAAGTAGGGAGGAGCACTATAAATAGGCTCCAAGGCATCATTTGTACATTCAAGTTGAGAGCAATACATAAAGCATTCCAAAGCACTTGTGTTCTCTTGCAACTCAATCTCTTTCCTTCAAACATTTAGAGAGTGTGAAGAAATTTAAGGCACGAGGGTGCCAAGTGAGTGATCGGGCATACTAGCAAGGGTGATAGATTGTGTGCTCAATTGTCTACGACACTTAGTCGTAAATTCGGACTAAGGCACTAAGGGTAAGTGCTTAGTTCAACCAAGGGGACTTGTTAGCACCAAGGGATCGTGCTAGCAAACTTATTCTAGCAGCACAAAGGGTTGTGCTACGTGGGCACGAGAGTAGTGCCAAGGGAGAAAGCCTGACTCGTCTTACGACGAACTGTAAGCGGGTGGCGCACGGTGCGTGACTAGGGCAAAGTAGTCGGCACGTGACAATATGTTATAAAGCTATGTGTTATACCTTCCAGTTATATAGTCATCTACACACTATGTTACTTGAAAAGGATCTGTTTTATAGGCTCATACCAATATGTCCTTGAGATCTAAGAAGTCATGCACACATTACTTGTTGTAGCATTTCCCCTTTTATTTATTGAATGTTTTGCATTCCGAATTTATATTGCCATTCTCCACACGCCCTGTGACTTAGTTCTTCCATAACATTTTCATCGCATTTAAGTTTGACAACCTTTACCACTTTACTCAATGCAAACCACCAACTAACAGCCAGTCATTGCCCATATCCGCAACCTGCTGCCCCCTCAACCACAGCCTCTGCTTTCACCTCTTCCGTACCAGCTGCTATTCTTTCCAAACTTGTTACCTATTACTTACACAAAGACAAAAATTGTGACGGATTTCATAATCAATAGCCTTGTTGTACAGCCATGAAATTATATCAGATATGATTGTATATGCTAGTCATTTCCTCAGCTCATTTTGTACACTATCATGTTTTGGATACGTAGAAATTGGTCAATGTTAATTATTTTGCGTACTATCTATGTTTCACAGTTTTTGCACCTTTGAAGGGTGCACGGATTTCTAGGCAAAATTTGTTAGTGAGTGTAAGATAGAGAGAGAAAAATAGGAATGCATGTGATCAGGAGAGAGATAGAGAGAAATAACAACCTGAAAAGGAAAGAAAATATTAGATGCAAATAATGTGTAGCATTCATTTTTTACAAAATTTATAAAAAATATGAAACGAGGTAGTATGAAATTTAATGGTGAATGGATGTTCGTGATTTTGCACCTTATTCACCAAACTTGATTTTTTCGATTCATTTGTTTTGTATTGTTTAGGATAACCGCCTATATTTGTGAATGTGGTGAGTAATAAAAATGAAAATAAGAAAAATACTTGTTTTGGTTTAGAGATAAATCTATTTCCCCTATATGTATTTGATTTTGGCGGGGCATTATGAATAAGATTTTACACAAATTTTTTACCATTCCCTTGATCTGTTGTTTATGCCTAAGAACCAAGCACTTAATTTGCTTGTTAAATTATACAAAGTACTAAATTTGCATGGTCTAATTTCTGTCTTGCTGCACATACAGGAACCCGTAGGAAAAAGCGAATTGATGGCGCCTAGGCTTTGAAAGCGAATGGTTCACAAAATCTGTTTGTATACGCAGATAATGGCCTTGTAAAGTTGTAAGTGTTCAAATGGATATAGTTACAGGTTTACACTGAACTCTGTGAAACCTCATCTACGTATAATCATACTTTCTCAATTCCAATAATATTGCAACAATGATGAAATTATGCATCCCAAAGTACATTTTATCTGTTGAATATCTATAATTGTGTAAGAGTAAAATTATAGAAAGTTGACATTGTAAAAGTATTTTATGGGACGAATCTAATAAGATTCTACATGACAATATTTTGCTTAACGTATAAATCATATTATATGGTCAAACAAGAGTGGTGAATAGTGCAAAAAGTCCATTGCTGCAATATTAATAGACAAAGGAGTATATTATAGAAAACTCTACTAGATATGTGACAAAGGTGTTGTTAAGCATGCATTCGGGGCCTTAGTTTCAAAGCCTGCGATTCTTTGTTACATCTTTTAGAACCTCATTTGCTACAAGATAGAATAAAATTCAGTTGAGTTGGCGTCGAAAGTCTAAATAAAAAGAGTATGTGAAGAAATAGAGGATATTTAAGGCTATATACTATTGTGCACCTCTCCCTATGTGTAAGCTAATTGTAATTTGTGATTGGTCGCTATAGAATTGAGAGAAGTGTTATATAAGCAACACGCTACCTATTTGAAGGATTGACGACACGTTTGATAACCAGTAAAAAATAGACCTGGCAAACCGGTTGGGTCAGTTCGGGCCAATCATTATGCGAGTCTATTCGGGTTTCAGGTCAATGGTAATTTGGATCGGGTATTAGGTCAACACTTCGGGTCGAGTTGGGACAATTCAGATCGGGTCTGCCTTTGGGTTCAATTATCATGTTAGTTCGGGTATGGTCAAATTTGGGGCGGATCCATTTGGGTTAGGTCAATCTTTATGTCGATGTATATATTATAATTATCAATAAGTATAACGCATAACACTTGAATATTAATTATATATTAATGAGACAATTCCAACAGTACTATATACATAAGACTGTATTGTTTCATATGTATGATTACTATCATTAAATTGGTCAAATTCAAATTAGATACGGTGAATAGTGGAAAAAAATTCAATGTAATAATTAAAAGAAGAAGCTAAGAGTTATAGTAATAATAACAATACCAATAACTAGTCTTCCTAATCAAATGGAACTTTTCATGAATTACAAGGACTAAATTACACGCACATTTCAATAATATTATATACACAATGTTTAATTTAGGTTAATTTCGATAAGTGTTTATTTGGGTAAAATAATTAAGCCCTAAATCAGTTATGTCATTTTGAGAATTTGTTTATTTTATTTCGAGTGTAGTTCAGGTCTCTTCGGGTTTTGAGTCCGTTCGGGTCAATCAATTTGGGTCAAAATCGAGTCGGATCACTTCGCGTTTTGAGTCACTTCGGATATCGGGTCAATTTCGAGTCATGTCAATTCGGGTATCGGGTCAACTCCACTTCGGGTCGGGTTGGGTCAACTTTGTGTTCGGGTCAATTTTGGGTCACGGGTCGGGTCATTCAAGTCGGGTTAGGATTGCCAGCTCTAGTAATAAATGACGGTAATGGGAATGAATTTTAAATATAAATTAGGAATAATATTAACATTGTAATCCCCATAGTATTGTAATTTCATTCTCAAATATGTGCTTTATTCATGTTTTTCATTTACAATCCATTTCCACAAGGAGCGGGTATTAGGTGGGAATGAAAATTGCTAAGGAAAAATGGTCAATTTGAGTGTGGTGAGCTACCATATTTACATGCCAATTCATTATTACCGTTACCATCATTTTTTATCATCTACCAAACGGCCGGTGAAGGTTTTCTATTTTTAAAAATTTAAGAACATAAGGTGTTATATATCTTTAATAAAATGATTCTCCACGTGAAAAGTTAGCTAGAAATTAAACTTACATTAGTGAAGAAGATAATTATGAGGAAAATTTCAAATTAAGATTGGAATAAGGTTTTTATATTATATTTTATTTTATATTCCAGATGGAATTCAAGATGGAAAATTTTATATTCAAGATGGAACTTAAACTAGCTAGAACTTAAACTTAAACTTAATAACACTTGTGAAGAAGATAATTATGAGGAGGAATTGTTAGCTAGAACTTAAACTTAAACTTAATAACACTAGTAACACTTCTTATTTTAACATGGCAACCTCACCTAAACTAATGTTCTACTCAATAATCACCAAGCATAGTTTGATATAGTGGTCAAGTTTAATGAGATAAAATCAAACGAATTTGATGATGGAAATAGATTAGAGTTATAGGATATTTATTAAAAGTTAAGATTAATTTTGTATATAATCCATATAAAATATTAAAATTCTACCAATAATAAAACTCTATGTTACAATTTTATCTGAAAAAATCTATCTAAAAATCACTTACTTTATATCATACGTTTCACAATAATACCTATTTTCGCACACCTTGGCAAAAAACTGGAATGTCAAGTGTCAATGTCTTGTGGCCTGATTGCAAGACCGACTATATATATTTCTGACATAATATGATATGATATTAGATTTATCTCAACAAATTTGATAATACTACCTTCGTTTCATATTTTTTGCAACTTTAGAATATTTTATATCTCACAAATAATACCCCAAAGTTGCAAAAAACATGAAACGGAGGTAGTAGTTGGTTAATGAGATATACTACCTCCTGTGTATAAATGTTTTTAACATTATTCGCTATAATTGTTAAAAAGTTTTTAACAATTTCTTTATTGTTGTTTTTGGCAATTAAATTTAACCCTTTTACCTCCCAATTTAATGTTAAAAATGCTATAAATAACACTAAGGGCAATATATAAGCAGTTAAAAATCGAAAAAACATATTAAAAAATAGCATTAACTAGGTTAGATCTTGTGTCATGCAAGGTTTTCACTATTTGCTATGGAGTATCAATTTAAAACTACATTTAAATATAAAATAATTTGGTGGAAAATCTTTCTCAACCCCCCCCCCCCCCCCAAAATCAAGCAACTTAAAATTATCTTTTATGACTACATATTATGACATATATATTTATTAAAGCTTTCCGCTATTTTGAACCATGATACATATTTATTTCTAATTTTTTATTTCACATTTGCCAATTTTCCATTCACCAATTTTGTTAGGTTGAAAGATATATATTCATGATTTTTTTTTTATTTATAAATAATCATTATACATTTAAAAGTAATTACTTATATAGAATCATTAAACCTATAAAAGCACCAAGAAACAAATTAGAAAAACTCCTTATGAATAGTGTCCTCCCCACATTATCCCTAAAATTGCCTTTGGAATTCCTTATGAATAGTATATTCCCTTATTTGCCTTCAACATTTCTTGCATGTGCAGCCCATGTGTGTGATGAGATGGGATCATAGTTTTACACGTGTAGGTTAGCTGGGAGCACCTTAATCATCATCATCATTTTACCTTAATCAGCACCACCACCTTCATTATCAACCATTACCATCATCATCGCCATCCACCTAATTAAAAATATCAAAAACCAGTAATAACCACATAACCCAAAACTACCATCGAAACTCTAAAGAACCACCACCAAACCTAGAACAACCACCACCAAAACCAATGAAATCCACCCAATCACCACCGAAAGTTCGAACAACCACCACCGAACCCTGAACAATCACCACCAAATCATTGAAATCCACCAACGAATCCAACAAATCCACCGCGATGAACCAGCGAAACCACCCCCATGAACCACCAAAATCAGTAACGAACCACCAAATCCTACAAACCACCCCCATAACCATCCAAGAACCCACCTTAAACCAACCAGGAATCATCCAATTGATAACCCAGTTAATATGACATATTAACTTCATATGTTAATATGATGGCATTTTCGTTATTATTGAAATAACTTGCAATATTTTATTGTTTTCTGGGTTTGTAGCTGACATGGCAGAAAACTTGCGACGTTAGTGGATGGTTAACGCTGAATTTTGATCCCTTTTTGTCTTGAACTTGGGAATCAAAAGATCCCGTTGTTGAGGAAGCAGGAGAAGAGCATCAGCAAGCTCTCCCTTTTTCGAGCTCTTATCCATTTTTCTCAGAGCGTGAGGGAGCGACTTACGAATTTGATGATTGGAGTCTTCAACCCAACTTGATATCGCGTTCTTGGTGTTCTGAAGGGACAACGTAATTGGTAAATTCCATAGCTTGAAAACGCTAGTCTTCGCTATTAATTCAATTCCTTTGAATTTTTGCATTTGTTGAGGTCGGTCATTGCAATTGGTGAAGATATGCGTGTTCTGGGCTATTCTGTTGGTGTGTAATGTATAATTTAGTTGATTTTATTGATTGTTTTCCGAATTAATCGAAAAATGGAATTTGAAGTTTTCGCAAATCATTCAATTGCTTTGAATTTTACATTTGTTGAGGTTGGTTATTGCAATTGGTGAAGATATGTGTGTTATGGGATATTCTGTTGGTGTGTAATGTAAAATATAGTGATTTTATTGATTGTTTTCCTAAGCAAATTACTGTACTAGTTAATTGGAATGTCGGCTAAATATTTGTTATTGTTGTTGATATGAAATAGGAATTATCTAAGTGAGGAGTGCTGCAAGTTATTTTCTTGTTTTTGTTGAATTCTTGTTATTATTGATTTGTATGAGGAGTGATTTGTATTTTTATGAATCCTTTGTGAGTGTTGGAATTATTTTCTATTCTCCCTTCTTGTTGGGAACTATTTGCTATTCCCCTTTCTTGTTGAAATTATTTGCTATTCCCCATTCATGTTGATTGTGCTTATAGTATCTTTCTTATCCATGACTCTAGATTTATGTAGTATTAATACCCAACAGTGGCTTTCTCGATGTTATTCTTGATCATGGGTCAGACTAGATTTACTACTGATGTCTGCTGTAAATTGAGCAGTTATATTGCAGGTGTGGTTATGGATTGTGGTTTTGAAGCTGGTGAAATGGGTGATCCTGTTGGCGTATCATATAGTGATGAGGGGTGGGGGGGGGTGGCAAGTGATAACTTCTGGTGGTGTGGCTGATGGTCTCCCCTCTCTGAACTGTATGGCATTGAAGATTCCTAACTCAGTTGAGAGACTAGCTGCCATGTCACCAATTAAAACTATTGAAACTGTAGAGACCATTGTCTCAACAAATCAGATTAGCATGTACACTTATGTTGAATCACCTAGGTTAGGGATGGTTTTCAAATCCTTTGAAGATGTAGAAAGCTACTACAACGAGTATGCTGAGCAGAAAGTTTTTGGGGTAACCCGAGTTGCATCATCATTTTCAAAGAAGGATAAGGAGGAGTGCAGAGGGGCCACCTGGAGGTGTGAGTGTTGGGGTCCACCTGATATGAGGGCAAGGAGGGAGGCGAAGAAAAGGGCAAAGCCAACGAAATTATGTGGCACGGGAGGGATGTTTAATGGTGAAATAGGGGAAGATATCATGCAGCGGGCGAAAAGGACCTCCAAGAAATGTGAGTGTGGTGCCATGTTATATGCCGGGGTTGATAGTGATGGCTATGGGTTATTAGGAAATTGAAAAATGTGCATGATAACCATACCCCTAAACCGAGTGATGCTAAGCTGGTGAAGGAATATCAAATGAAGAATTACACGTCGAATGTGGAGAAGAAACTTCTGAATTACTATGAAGTAGGTGTCCCTATAAGGCAAATACATGGGTGTATGGCTACGGAGACCAGGGATGATAACTTCCTAGTTTTAAGGACCTTGAGCATGAAGTGTCTAAGGAAAAGTGGCTCAAAATGGAAGGTGGTGATGCGGCTGCAATGATGGCATACTTTGATCGCATGCAAGAGGATAATAAGAATTTCTATCATGCACACCGCTTAGATGAAGAGGGCCGACTCAAGGACGTAATGTGGGTGGACGCTTGTAGTAGGGTGGCATATGAAGATTTTGGGGATGTTGTTTGTTTTGATTCCACTTATCTAACTAATGCGTACGCGCTTCCTTTTGCCAACTTTGTAGGGGTAAACCACCAAGGGCAACCTATATTTTTGGGTTGCGCTCTTGTGTCACATGAAGATTGTGACACATCTGGTTGGATATTTAGGCAGTGGCTTTCTTGTATGGGTAATAAACAACCCGGGCGAATTTTGACAGATCAAGCTGCCGCAATGCGCAAGCCTTTAGCTCAAGTGATGCCTAATGCTCGACATCGTTGGTGAAGAAAATCCCAGAGAAACTTGGAAAATGTGAACAGTAAGTTGTCCTGATTAAGCTTGTTTATTATGTTGTATGCTGCTGTGTAAATGTTGTTGTAACTTAGATAACCGGATACATTTTGAATTTATAATTCTGTGCATTATGAAAATAGTCAAGATTTAGATAAATGATGTGCCATAGTTGTGTACTTGTAGTAAGTTATTCCATATACAACTAATTATTGTTCTTGTTGTGATCACTGGTGTACTGAAATCATAACAGCTAAACTTAATCTTTCTTCATGATTCTGTGCATTTTGAAAATAGTCAAGATTCATGATTCTGTGCATTCTGAAAAATGTTAAGATTGAAGCTAGAAAATTCTTTTGGTCCTTTCCTGTTTCAGAGGATGATTTAAATTCTTTAGGTCCTTCCTGTTTTAGTGGATGATTTCACTTTTTTCGGTCCTTTCATGTTTCAGAAGATGAATTTGGATAATGAGCTTCTGGAAAGACATGACCATTTATTACCATTTATTTGTTAGTGTAAAACTCATATTTGTCATCCTTTACTAAATTAGAGTTGTGATTATGGGTATTTAAAGGTTTGAAAGACAAGAATTTATAGGTAAAGATCTATAATCTAAATAAGAGGTGTACATTTTCAAGTTATGCTCTGTACTTCTTGTATGCCATATATAAGTGATTACTGGTGTTGCTCTGTATATGGACATGTTGTAACTTCTTCAATATATAAGTGATAACTCATGCACATGATGTAACTTGTGCATGGTAATAAACTTGTTCTCTGTATGATGTTATAAATAATGTTTGTAACCTGATTATTAAATGCAGTTGTGTTATGTATTGTAGTTCAAGTATGTGACTGTAGAATGACCTGCACTATAGATTTTGTTATGAACTGCATCATTTTATATGTAGATGTAGTTAATGAAGTCTGCTTTGATGTTTGGTTACATGATTGAATTAGACAGTTGTCAATGAGATTGTCAACTAATTAATTAGTTCTGTAAATGTTGCAGCTACCAAGATTTTAAGAGCCCTCTTAAGGCTCTTGTATATGAGAGCTTCACAGTTGCCGAGTTTGAGCGTCGCTGGACAGACTTAATCAAGCAGTTTGAACTAGAGGATAATGATTGGTTAGCTATTTGTTTGAGGAAAGGCACATGTGGGTCCCAACCTTTATAAAAGAGCACTTTTGGGCCGGGATGAAGACAACATAGAGGATCAAAAGCATAAATAGTTTCTTTGACGGGTTTGTGAACAGGAAGACAAAGCTTTACGAATTCCTTGACAAGTACACTAGGGCAATAGGGAGGCGTGTTAAAGCTGAAACTGATGCGGATGCTCGCTGTGGCAAATATTTATGGCGCCTCGTGAGTGGTTTTTATGTTGAACAATTCTTCCTGGACATCTACACTAACACCAAATTCCAAGAGATTCAAATAGAGTGTTGTAGACTTATGCATTGCTCTAGGAGGGAGGAGCGTGTTCTAGAAGGGAACTTGATTCAATATCTACTTGAAGATCGGGTCTGGATCATCCCAGAAGGGAAGAGCGAAGAAGAGATAACTGATAAGAGACGATTCTACTGTGTCCTGTTCAACACAGTTACAAAGGACGTGTCCTGTGATTGCCGGAAGTTCGAAACCTTTGGTATTCTTTGCAGGCATATCATCCGAGTTTATGATCAAAATCGGGTGTCTGAAATTCCTTCGAAGTATGTACTTGGCAGGTGGCGCAAAGATGTCCCTCGGAAGCATACCCGGGTTAAGGTTGCCTACCACGATCCAAGTACAGATTACTCTGTCCAGATTTATAGGAAATTGATGGGGGAGTTTGAGCCAATTTGTGAGGTTGCAGCTGTTGCTGATGACAAGGACACATTAGATCTTGTATTACAGTCTCTACAATCACTTTCTTTGGATGTTAAAAAAAGCAGAGAGAAGTACATGGAAAAGCAACCTTCTCTACCCACTCTCCCAAGAACCCTGTAGCCTCCATCTGAGATTTGTTCAAACAACCCTTAGTCACGCCAAACCCCTTTGTCAGTATCGAAACCTGCTGGAGAAGAAGTGAACCCTGCTACTGTTGAAGCGGCACCTGTTTCAGTGAAGGATCCTATTAGTCGGAAAAACCGCGGGGACGGCCAAAGGTGTATAGGCATAAATCCCTTGCAGAGATGGGCTACAAAAAGAGTACTGGGAAAAAGGGTGAAAATGCACAACAACCTCCTGCCAAATTACCTGTAAGTTATGTGTGTCTATTCGTTGTTGTTTTATCTGTTGATGATGTATATGATCTTTTGATAATTTTTCGGCACTCTAACCTATTCACAGGCTAAGTGGAAAACCCACAAGGCGTTCAGTTCCAAAACATAATTGAGAATTATTATGACTATGTTGCAGATGTTGGCGCGGTTGATGAATTTGCACAGCACAATGGGGTGGAATGGGGATCTGCTCCTTCTGAAACCTTTTATGTTGACGTTGATGGTAGAAGACAGATGTTGCACCACCGCTTCTTTTGACACTTGAGTGGGGTCTGGTACATGGTTCTTCATATTCTGTAATCCATATAAAACATGTTTTTGACTTACAAACTTACAAACCCCTTCTCTGATCCTATATATTTTGTGGTGGATGTTTATGACTTTACAAACAAGTGTTTGACTTACATTTTACCACCAGTGCTGTTTCTTCCAAGTTAACACACAAACAACATTGCAAAATTAGGTGCATTCATATATTGGTTCTTCTTTCCCCATATTATTTGGAATGTATTCATCTTCTCATTATTCGAATGCACTAGATTATCATACATTCCTGTCAGTAACTTTATATTATTTTATTTGGTATGCATGTGTGTGTGATCCAATCATCACTCGATACACTTTGTTTAGTGACCTCCTAATATTTCCAGCAATGCTTATTTACTATATTTCAAGCAATTCTTATTTACTCTGTTACATCCGAGTGCTTCATATTTTAGGATGATTTATAAAATCATCCTATTGTACAAACAACCAACAACTAGATATAGATAGGATTGGAAATATAATTAACTTCATCACTCCTTACCCACCTGATCTACCAATTAAATGATCCGATTGGGCCTAACTAACTCAATTTGTTCATCAACCATAGACTTTTAATTATGTCACTTTCATCAACGATATGAATTTTCTTGGCCAGTTACACAAGTATTGGCCCATAAGACAACAAAAACAAGAAATTTTGGCTTTGCTTATTATACTACATCAACAAACCCAGAAATTTTAGGCCACAAAGCATCTTAACAACAAGTGACCCAAATCTAATGCTGGATTTGGCCTTTTGGAAGGTTTGGCCTTTTGGATGGGTTTGGCCTTCAGAATGTGGCTTACTATGCATAACCATCATACACAGTGTACCTTAATTAATAAAGGAAATTACTTAACATAACATAAACAGCACAAATAGCTTTGCCAAAGCCATAATCCCCTTACAAGAAGCCACACAAAAGAAAACAAACGCGAAGTTCAGATTTTGTCAGCCACAAAATATTACAATCAAAACAACGAAATCAAATTGTCCAACCACTAAAAGCAGAGTACTACATGCTTAACTATATTACAAACAAAAGGCGTGGTGTTGCAATTAAACGTTCTTCTACATCTGATTCCTGCGACATTCCAAAAGAAAATTCAGCCCTCTAACAGCAGACCTTCACAGAACACAAGTCATGGCTGACCGTTTGGAGCCACAACGACTCTGTCTCCATTTTTTATTTCAGCCTCCCTAATGGTATTGAGGGTGCACATCACGGTATCTTCATGGTAGAAAATTAACTCAGTTGGATCCACATTAACCTTGTCACCTCAAATGTGGAACAGACGACACAGTGGGGTGTCCAACTTGCCTTGAACCCGGAGCTTGATCTTCCTGCGGTGTTCCGTGTTCTTGAGGTAGAACCTCTTGAATCTGTTGCAAGTGTTCATCACACCTTCCAGGAATTTTTACTTAGTTTAAATCATTTTTAACAAGCAGCAAATACACATCTATAATTTATTTATGTCTACAATAACCATATCAATTAAAATCAAGAAACAACTAGGTGTTTTTTAGAAAAAAAAAATATCTAGGCAAATAATTAATTAGGCAGAGCATATTTTGCAACCACTTGTTACCTTAACACTGCTAAAATATCAGAATATTTAGGTTTAGTAAGCCTAATATAGTCAATACGTTTCCATAACACAATAACAACTACAATTTATTTATGTCAGCAGTTGATTTTATCTTGATTAATTAAGATACACCAAAATAATAATGAAAACCGTTCCTTTAATACACCAAAATAATAATGTGATGATCAACTACAATTGGTACTTGTCACTCAGTTGTTAAACAAAATTAAACAACAATATCATACTCACAACATGCACAAAGATATTATTTATTCATTTTTAATAATTAGTCATTTCGGAAGGACTATTACTAATCAGTTTTGAATTTCTATTAGTCAATATAGCATGCACACATACAAATTACTCATCAGTTTTGAATTTCTATTACTCAATATAGCATGCACACGTACAAATGTATCAAGTATTAGGCAATCCATTTAAATGATATCATCAATTACAATCAAATACAATCATGGTTCTAATCACAAATCAGATGTGACATTATCTTATACTCTCAAATCATGCAATACGACAAATTATAAAACACTGAAATTACATAATCAATTAATATGATGCCATTATTTTATACTCTCAAATTATAAAACTCTGAAATGATTAAATAAATTACCTCTCCTTGTACGTAAAGTACACTTCCTGTTTGAACACCCACTGCCTGAGGATATTCAGTTGATGGAACATAGGTAGTGCCGAGAGAAAGATTAATCTGATTATCTTTGACATCAATTCGAGACGCGTAGTCATTGTAGATTGCATCGAAGGTTTTGTCAGGTCAAATGTTGTACATAACACCGATATCACCAAGAGTGTAGCTCCTTACGACGATTGAAAGCACCATGGCTTCTCCATCTTCAGCTGGTATGACCTCGTCCATGTCCACATCAGGCTTTTCAACCTGTTCACCCCCCACAACATCTTCAGCTGGTTGAGGAGGAGGAGGCGGAGGTGCCGCCCTAAAAACCCCTAAAGTTGTGGTGGGGGGAGGGGACAATAGGGGTGCATTCACTTCTTTCCACCTTAGGGTACTCGACGACTCAGAAAGGTGCACTTCGGGGTGCCTAGAGATGAGTCACCTTCTGTAGAAACCTACTTTTGGCCTCTTGTCCCGAAAGGAAGTGCGATGATGTTACAAAAATCCGTTCTGCATGCAAGATCAAAGTTGAAGTGTTTATGGACTATGAAAAGAATTATGAAGTAAGTTGAAACCCATATTTGAGTCCAAGTTATCTTAGAAACTTTTCCGATTACTAATTAGGCCTAAAACATGTTCATACATGTTTAAACTTGATTAATAACAGACCCAAATGTGTCAAATGCAATTATTGGATCCAATAGAACCTACATTGTTGAAAAACCGAGCCAAACAGGTAAACCAATCATCAAATTCCCATGAAAGGCCTATAAAGATGATTAGCCCTTTTAAAGAGCATTTCAACGGTATATTTTAAGCCCAATTCCGAGAAAAAACAAAGAAGTTATGATCAAAACACTAAACCGGGCCCTAAAACTGACACCCTTGCACTCCAACGGCCATAACTTTTGATACATAACATATTTAACCTAAATCCAACGGAATTGGAAAGTAGAAATTCAGAGATTTCTATTGATATCTCACACGCCTTAATCAAACTCCGCAATCAAAAGTGATGGAAATTTTAAAAAACGCACTTTCGTATAAGGCAAACCGCAAACCAGCGCATCTCAATCCTATCTAACCCATGATCAGCCACCTGATGGCGCGACTCTAAAACCCTAAAACTAGATCCCTACGCCTATAAATAGGGGTCTTCGTTCAGCATTACGGGGACCGAAAAAATCAGAATTAAAACCCTATTATTATCAAAACCCTAATCTCTCTACTTCTCTTACTATAATACTACTTTTCCCTCTTTCTTCCCAACTACTCTTCAACCCTAATCCATCCATTGAAGCTCTTGAAGGTACGAAGAAGAAAGAAAGTCCATAAACACATTAAACTGAGATTTAACATAAAAGAAGAACGGTTAGTTTCTTGAGCACTTAGATAAATAACTTTTCCTTTATTGTTTAAATAACTTTAATTGAATAAATAGTGTTGTTTGATCACTTTAAACAAACTTTTAATTAATTAATTCACATAGTATTATTTTGTTAATCAAGAATAGAATTTGATAATTAATTGTTGCTTTATCACTTAAGACATGGCAAATATTGTTTATTTTGTTCTTTTCACGAGTATTGATTAAACAAAGAATAACGACTTTTGCAATGTAATTCCTACGTGATTAATGCTTGTAAATACAATCAACTATCTTAGTCTTTAGGTATCCCGTTGCATATATTGTTTGGTAATGAAATTGTGAAAAAGGAAGAGCTAGTAGAGGCGGTACTAGGGCTAAGATTGCGATTCCCCTCTAAAGGGAACGTTATCTTAGTACCCTCGCTCCCGAACTCATTTCTGATTTATGTAGACCAATTTGGGCATGGGTAAACTTACGATTCATGCTAATTATTCCTTGAAATCTACTTGGGAGAAAGGCATGAACAAGTTTTATGAGTTTTCTTAAAACTCATTGGAGACTCCTACTTGTGTCTTACAAAAATGCGTGATGAGAGTATCATTTCTAGTTCAAGGTCTCCCAAACAGTCAGTAATTCAAATCCTAATGCACCCTAATAAGTGTAAAGTCCTAGGCTTTTAAATGGCCATGGGAATTTAAGGAGAGGACCCATTACGATGGGAACCCCCTCCTTACAGTGGCGACTCCACTGGGGACTTAGAGGTTACAAGATTAGTTCATAGTTATGGTTCAAGGTTTCCACCACTAGGTTGCCTATGGACTGTAACGAGAACTAATTCCAACTTGTTACCTAAAGATATAATAAAAAAAAATTCGCAAAAATTATGGTTCGACAAAAAAAAAACAAAATTGTTGAACCTACCAGGTGGCACGCGCAACTGTCAAAGTTGCGCGCGCCCTCCTAGCGCAAGTTCAGAAGTTGCGTGTGGCACCTCCACGCAACACTGTGTCTTGCGCGCACCCACTATTTAACGTTGACTTTGACTCGTTACGAGCAATATCATACGGAGAAAACGATACTACCGCTTCAAGGTTAATCGTTAAGTGGGTGTTAAAAATATCTCTTTGGCTAACAACGTTGTCTAACTTTTACTATGATCGTCTTTTTTCGAAAAACATGTTTTTTTATCGTTGTTTTTTGCGTTTTCACAAAAAAAAATAAAAAAAAATTAAAAAAAAAGAAAAGAAAACCTTGAATGTGGTAGATGCTACTCTTGAAGATGCATTCTCCACCTTAGCGCAAGACGGAAAATTGTGCGCGATACTATTTTTGATTATTATGATTCGTGTACGTACTTTCTAATCGAGCTAATGACATTACTTCTTGTGAGCTTCGTCATTATAAGTTCGCATCTCTTAATAGGACGTCATCAATATGTTTATTCTTAAATATGCCTATTTTCGTGTTTATCATTTTTTTAGATGTAATTGGTAAACCTTGATTTAAAAGTATAATTTATTTACCTCTTCTATGGTTTAAAAAGAAAATCCTGAGAACTTTACTTGGGATGATTTCCTCACAAAAAAAAAGAGAGAGAGAGAAATAGAACGG